GCCAGTCTCTCAATGCTCAGGCTATTGTAAGGGTTTTGAGGACAAAAGTATACTTAAGTATGATTGATCTGCCAGTTAATTTTACTTTAGAACAAATCCTGTCAGACTTGCAGAAAGAAATCATGTGCAGGTTTCCTTTCAGTCATGTTTGTTTTGGGGGGATTTTTTTTGGTGGGGGAGAGGGAAGGGGTGTTGATTCACTTTTGGCTAGTAAAATGATTCTAAGAACTGTGCAGACATTTTAAGGCAAGTGACTTAACTCATTGCCCTCATTCCTGGCTCTTTGGTTGAGCCAGCCGGCATTGATGTGACTTCTTTTGCTCATCAAGTAAGTTTCGAAACAAACACCACAAAACAAACCTCCACATAAAAAACCACTTCTTGAATCCCAAGGGCAGGGAAAAGAAGGTTTGCCAATGATGGAGAATGTTACTGTTTCCTGATGGCAGTGTTACTTTGCAGAGCACCCTTAAAGGCAGTAGAGAAAAATACACCATCAAGGACACGCTCATTAGCCCTTCATATGTTAATTTGCTTACTTTTTCAGTGGGTCTGAGTTCTGGGGATTTTTTGTTTATACCTGAATGTGTGATGAAGCCACACTCTAGATTAGTGTTAAGTTCTAGAAAGGAACATTTATTAGCTTTTCCCATTCTCTCCTTCAGCATGCCTGTCCCCTGCAGATGCATAGCACCCCTGCTCCTGTGCTGACGAACAGTGCAGGTTAGAATGTCATCTGAATTCAGGCGTGTGCTAGTGCACACAGAGCAGAGCTTACTGACCCTAGACATGCATGGGTAGCTGTGGAAGCTGTTTAGACTTTACTGCTGCCCTTCCCTCTCCTTTCCCAACCACTAGGAAAATGAAACCAGTAAGTATGATTATTCGTTCTAGATAACTTCGCAGATGTTTATCCCTGTCGTAAGTAAGGGCTAAGGCAAGATAATTAACATGAAGACAGGAATAGAGACTATATGTTGATAGCAAACCATCAGCAAGTATATATAGCGGGAGTACAGGGATTACATAAAGAGCACCCTCCCAGGGCAATTTTAAAAGTCTGCCAGGGATGAGAGAAAAAAATGGACTATATTGTTCTGATTTATAGCTCATTAGGTGATCATTTTATTCGATTACAGAATTACCAACATGTTAATTTTCTTCCTCAGATTGTTAGCTTTGCTAATGTAGTTATCGGCAATGAACAGTCATTTTTGACTTGCCTTTTTTTCTACTTCTGTGGTCTCATTTCTTCCTCTTCTGTGCCTTACCTATTTTACTGTATGTGGATATTAAATTATAGAACTATTTATGGCATTCAATCATTTTGTGTTCCCACTATTCCATATACTCATTTAACTCCTTTCTCCTTTCACCCCCGAAAGTAATCAAAAAATGGTCTCTTAAATTTCTCTGCCTGGAAAGTGCTGCTAGTGGCGGATCTGTCAGGTGCTATTGATGTTAAGGGAGTGCTTTAGGTCTTCATTGAGCATCTTGTCTGCAATTTTTAGAACTCAACTTTTAAAACTTGAGCCCCAGAATCTGTACCTTTCAAGGGGAAGGTGAAACCTGAGAAAGCAGGGCTGACCATGTTGTCATACTATTCTTACCTGTTTGGTTTCCCTGATTCTTGTTGCCCAAAGTACAGCAGCATCCCACTGCACTCAAGAAGTTTGTGTTAGTACCAGACATTATTTGGTATCAGGATAAGAGCTTATATCTTTAAGCAGGTGACCTCCCTGCCCTTGTTCTTTTTCTGTAGGTCACTAGGGAGTCTCAAAAAGGAGACAGTGGCAAACTCTCTGAAGACAAGGAAGAAGAAAAACTGCACTCTGATAGCATCAGAATATCAAATCCAGAAGTTCTGATAGTCTTGCCCTGTTCTTGTTCCAGCCAGTTCATTAGCGTGTGGTTAACAAATGTTACAGGACCTGAACACCACAGAACAAACATTGCAACACTGTCAGGATTTTGTAATGGTTGTTTTGTAGTTTTGACTCTTGGTTTCTACAGTACATCTCAGGGCTGTCAACATAATGCTGCTGCCTTAAAACTTTGTTAAATGAAGCAGGGATAGTGAGATTTTTTTTTTATTTTGAGAAAGTAAGTCCTTCGGTTTGTTTTTTAGTAGTTCAAGGTAGTTTATTTAATCCACTAATTGAGACATTGTAGACTGCGTTTTTGTTCTAATAGATCATAGCAGTAAGGATTTTGGGCCACTTCAAAGTGATTTTTTTTTTTTAATTTATTTTTTTCCCCAGAATACTAGTTCTCCATTTATTCTGTGTTGTGAATGGAGTGTTAGTATGCAACCGTCTTTTTTTGCCCAAATTGTTTCTTTAAGAATGACTGATGACACAACCTTACCAAAAAATAACGATGATAATGATAAAATGGAGCAGACTAGGACTGGTTTCTAAACAGGCAAAGTAAAAACCTAGTGTGCATGAGTAGAAGACTCAATGTTTATTTTAAATCTGGAGAACACTGTGTGAAAAAATTGTTTTGTGAGGTGTTAAATGTTCTCAAAAGTAGTTGGTTTGTTTACAGCTAAGACAGTAATACAGCAGGCTATAGTCCTGGTTTAGATGACAAAGTTATATTTGAAAGATGGCTGTAGTAAGACTTGTAAAATCATTTTCCTTGGGCCTCAGTAATGTGCAGGTGGCCTTGAGGATAGCGATCAGAGGTATTTTTAATGTCTTACTCTTCATGGGATCTGGGCATAAAAATGTAAGTCGAGTTACAAAGGGATGCAAGTGCCTAGGATTTACTTGTCCTACTTTAAGCTGTGAAGTCCAAAATAGGGCTTTTGAAGACTTGTACAATCACTGGACTGCTAGGAAGCTTTGACATGCTTAGCTATATAAAGGTTTGCAGCTAGGTTGACAAAGCCTTCGTTCTGTTGAGCAGCTCAGGGCCTACACAGGAGGCAGTTTGAGGCTCTACAAAAGAAATATTCTTTCCACCTGTCACCCACAGAGATGCTGCAGTCATCTCAGTAGCCTCAGAGTATGCCAAATGACTCTGACTCAGTAGCAGGTTAAAGGGGGGACCTTCTTTACTTTCTTATCAGTAGCTAAACATTCACCTAGGGTGTGGAAAGCCTGTTTTCCTTTTATGCTCAGGTGATTCATGGCCATTTTTTCCAGATGAGCATCCTCACTGCTGGTCTGTGGAATTATGCTTGGTGCTTCCACTTCCAAAGTCTTTAAGACACTTGATGACCTAATTCTAGGGCAAGGGCAGGATTCAAGACATACTTGGCATGATTTTCTGTGTGAGCTCGGGTGGTTCACTGCTTGGCATGATGGCTGTTTATGAATCCTCTTCTTAAGTATCTGTGCTTCTGGCTACAGGTCATGAATTTGGGAACTCAGACCTGTTCTCCCTGTATGTGTGTCCGGTCCAGATGTTGGCAGCGTTGAGTGGCTGGATAGCCACCACATCCCATCATCCTGGGAACTCCGAGAGAGGAAAGGAGCTACTTTTTCTTCCTTACTGTCCTTCAGGCACCCAGTATGTTAAGAGGCTTGCTACCTATTACTTTCTTCTGGAGTTGAGTTTAATCTCACTGACAGCATCTACACCAGTTGTTGAATTTTCCTTCAGAGCACCTTCTCTTTTCCTGAGCTGAGCTTATTTTTAAGCGAGGGATTCTAAGGAGAGGTTCTAGGAAGTTGGTCTGTGTAGTCTTTCATGCTAAGGTAACTTTTATGCTAAGGTAGCTTTGCAGTAGCAGAGAGTTTGACTACTAAATGGGGATTTTAGCCTGTGGCACAGTAAGCATCCTTAACTTTAAGCAAGTAAGTAGAGCCCATGGAAACGGAGAAGGCTATTCATTTGAATAGTTATATATGATTAAATATTTATGAAATCAGGTTTTAAACTTATGACTGTCTGTTGTTTGCAAGTATTTCATAAAACTTGATGCTTCTGTCATAGCCCCATGTTACAGTAAAATGAAATAAATGCACTTATAATTTTGACTTCATTATAAATTTTGATCTGAAGCTGCATAGGAGAGTTTCAAATAGCTTGTAAAAGCTTAATCTTAAACTTAGTGAATTACTTTAAACGTTAATTTTTTTTAAAATGGTTCTTGATTAAAAAAATAAACCAACCCACACAAAAGGAAAACCAAAAAAACCCAACCCCAAAACCCCACCCCAAAACTTGTGTCCTGTGCTACTTTTTGGGAAATGTTCTGAAACTGGGATACAAATAAACCAGAAAATATCAGCAGTGTGGGTTTCATACCTTATCACTGCTACTGGTAGTTCAGGTTGTCTCATAAAACCCGAACAGCAGATTTGTGATGAAGCTCCTGTTAAAACAAACCAACCAACCAACCTCCAAAACCCCACAACCCCTAACCATCCCAAAACAAAAAACCTCAACAGTTTGAGGCTTGGAATGAGTTTTTAATAAAGTGAGAATGGTAATTAGTCCATATAGTTGCTTTGAAGAAAGCTTCAAAATGAATTCTCACTGTAATGGGGGGAAAAATATATTTTCCCAAATCAATTCCTCCTAATCTCCAAGTTTCAGTCCATGTATTTTTTCCACAAAATTACCAAAAGCTATTGACCTGAGGGATTTGTTTTCCGTTCCAAAGTCTTGAAATTTTCCTCCTGGCTAATTACAGCCTATTACTCTAGACTTTGGTCCTTTAGCAGTAACATTTTCCATCTTAAGATGGGTTGTCCCATTCCAGTGAAGAGCATGTTGTCTGAGTGCTGAATGGAATTACTACCAGTGGAAACTATGCTGCAAGAGGCTCGATAAAGCAGCTGCTGTGCAAACCTCAGCTGTTTTTTCCATCCTCCTGAGCACTGGTAATTAGCATAGGGAAGCTGACTAATGTGCTGACGTCACCTCTTTCCAGTCGCAGCTTACATTTTGTTCCTGACTGCCTCAAAGCATGCAGGACTTTGTTCAGGAATTCGCTGTCACATACAGGATGCTCTGAAACCCTTTTTTTTTTTTTTTTTTTTGAGGGGCTGGACTTGCTTCCTTTATAAATGCTGCCTGCAGGACCAACGGCTTCCTTAAAAGTCATTGGTTTCTGCGGAACAGCAAGTACCACTTTGGTGAAGCACAAAATGCATTTTAGAAATTTTAACTACAGTTTTAGTTCTCTGATTGCCTGTGTGGCAGATAGCGATGTCTTCAATCAAGCAGAAACAAGGGTATGCTTTATCTTTTGTGTATTATTTCTGTGAACTACTGGAATACTAAGTATGTAGATGGTGTTTCAAATTGTTTAAAATACGGATGCCTTGATAGCTTTTCGACTTGGAAGAAAATTTCAGTTTGATGTAAGGGTCTTGGGTCTTATAAGTCTGCAGTAGTATGCTTTGATGTGAATGACACTAACTTTGGAAATTATTAGATCTTAAGCTATGTGTTTTTGAAAATTGTCAAAAGTTTACCTCCAGATTTACTTGACTGTCTCTATAGTGTATTCTTCACTTGCATATGAGTTTTCAGCAAATGTTTACATTATAGTTTTGGTAGTAATATTCACATAATTTATAGTACACTTTATACTTTTCATGGGATTTTTTTGGCTGGCACTGTAGTTAAGAGCATAATGTTAACAGTATAAGAAGTCCTCTCAGATTTATATTTAACTGATTAGAATTAATATAATGTAAGTAATCCAGCCCTGATACAGTGAATTGTTGACTGCTAAGATACCTTAAGGACAAAAATAACATTTTATTTAGTGTCATATTGCTAGCATGACATTTATGACCTCTATAATTACACACATTTTAAAAAAACTTATATATATTGAACAAATCTTGCAGGTAGTCTCTGAATTTAAATGTTGAATGTGAACTTTGGAATGCAATTTAGTGTGGGTTTAGCTTACTTTACATGGTTACATTCAGCTCTCTCTGGAGTACAGGAGGCTAACAAATAGCGGCATTGTGTGCCTGTATTTGACCAGGTCCTGGTCTTGTTTCAGAGCTCATTTTGAAGAAGCTTAAGTGTGGCTCAGCAAGAAGCAGGACAGCTCTAATATTTTCAAATATCTTTGAAATACAATGGTTCTGTATACAGCTGTGGCGAGTTTGTGAAGCAGAGCTTTTCAGGAAGGAAGATGAAATTTTGAAGTAGTTGCTGCCTCCTTATGTAATCTTTGTTGCTTTTTTTTCTACTAATTCAAAATGTAACAGTAAAAAAAAATGAGGCAATGTGATTTTGCATACTTGTTTATTTTGGCTTTGTACTGAAATTCTAGTAAGCTTTTATGAAGGGAAAATATCTGAAATCTGAATGCTTTATCTATTGCCATCACTGGAATAAGGCTTGTGACTGGTTACTGTGTTCTCAATGTGAGCCTGAAATGCTTTGCAAGAGCGTGGCAGCTTCTCCTCCTTTGGTCTGGCATCCTGAAGTAAGAGTGGAAGCACTCTTCATATAAATGATATGAAAAATAGCCAAGTCAGGTTTGCATAGATGCCCTAGGAGCACAAACGCAAAGTGCAAAATGGAGATAGCCAGCTGTTGGTAAAGGTGCTTCAGTGTTTTCATGCAGACAGGACAGCAAAGTAACTCAGCTGCAGATCTATGAAGGTATGAGGTTTTGGTCCAGTTCCTACTCTTACCACACAGTCAAAACAGAAAGTGTGTCAAAGGCCCTTCAGGAGCTGTATGGTTAGTACTTAAGATTTTTTTAGGAAGGATAGTGGGAGCCTTTTTAGAATTCGGTTCCAGAAATAGAAAAGGCTATTAAACTAGAGTTCAGTAATAATATGTTCATTTTCCTAAATGAAAGTAGCAGCTATTAAAACAGGAGCTGTTCCTGAACTTTATTATGCATGCTGAGTCACCAAAGAAAACTACATTTACCTTGCAAATATGCTTTTTTCATTTTCCTCTCTTGAAACTGTTGTGTTGGCTTCCTTGAAAATTGCACACTTAGACAAAGGCATGCTTGGCAGACTTTTTTCAAGGCCTTTGGATATTAATTTTGTAAGACAAGCATTTCTTTTCAATATCTTACCAATACTACTATTTCTGTTATGTCATTAAATCAGAGTGTCATGTCCAACACTTATTAATGACAATAATCTATTTTTTAATATGGAAAAAAAAAAAGCTGGTATAGAGAAAACAAGTGATACGTTAGAAAAATTCGTGATAAAAAGAGAGAAGAAGAAAACTAAATCTAAGCTGTTATAAATACATCAATATTCGAAAGTGGTAGTATGCCCCTACTACTAACTGCAATTTCTTTCTGTATTTAGAGAAAATGTAGTGTTCCATATTCACTTTCTTCTCTGGTCCTTTCTTTTCAGGCCAAATTTGAATCGCTGTTTAGAACATACGACAGAGATATCACCTTTCAGTATTTTAAGAGCTTCAAAAGAGTACGAATAAATTTCAGTAACCCTTTATCTGCAGCAGATGCTAGAATCCAATTGCACAAGACAGAGTTCCTTGGAAAGGAAATAAAACTGTATTTTGCTCAGGTAAGTCTTTTTGTGATTACCTTTACAAGGTACTAGAGCATAACTTACTCGTGATAAGCTTCCACAGGTCTTCAGTCACGCTAATGAACACTTAATTTTTTCAGTTTGATTAGGGAATCACAGATTGTTCCAAAGCTACAAGTACTTGGAGGCTGTTGTATGTCTTGCATTTATGTCTCCCTCTGTATTGTTTTGATAACCTTGGGGAAAGGGAGTAGATGATAGTAATCGGTACAGTCAAAGATAGCTTAACGGGGAGGGGGAAGCCAAGTGTGCGCTGCCAACAGTACATGCGCACGCACACGCGTGCTCAAGTAGTATCTGAGGGAATCCAAAGTGTAGAGCTGCATGTTCAGGACTCCACCTGTTGATCCTGCTCTCACTACTGCAAATCGTTTGTTTAGCACATGTTTGTACTTGGAGATCGCCATCAGTGCAGCTCTATAGCTGGCTAGCATCTGCTGCTAAAGATGTGAAACTCTCAGGTTCTGGTAATCTGGGTGCTTTTTGGTAGCTGCTGTGTATTTTCCTCCGTAAATTTAATGGGAAAATTAATCTATGTGTGTCTGTTTCAGATGTCCCTAGGGACAGTCCTGAAGGAGCCAGTTTATTTATATACCTTCTAGAATTCTCACCACTCTCACTTGTGGTAATGAGTTTCAACACCATTTGTCATTAGGCCTTAAAGCCCATATCCAGCTTCCTCCTACTTCGGTATTTTAAGGACAGATACTTTCTGGTGAAATTTTTTGTAAAACTCCATAATGAGAAGATGCGGATGTGCATACTTCATTGCATGTTTCATCAGAGTTAATGAATGTGGTGGCTTGTCTGTATTTTGTATACTGGATCTTTCATATAGCTCTCTTCAGTAATGTAGTTACATGCTGCCACCTTGAGTGCCTGTTACAGCATAACATCTATCCAGACCTTAAAATTCCTCATGAATGACGGATTCATTGATAACAGTGAAACAGCTTTGGCTTTTATGCTTTTTTCAGACTTTGCACATTGGAAGCTCACATTTGGCACCACCAAATCCAGACAAACAGTTTTTGATTTCACCTCCTGCCTCTCCACCTGTTGATTGGAAGCAAGTAGAAGATGCTACTCCAGTTATTAACTATGACCTTTTATACGCTATCTCCAAGTTAGGACCAGGTAAGAAGGAGTAGAAACACTAGAATTTTGGTTCAATAAAACACCCTTTAAACTTTCTGAATTTCTAGAACTTTTCAAATGAATTACTATCTACCAATTAAATTTGTAATATCAGAAAAAATATTAGTAAACAGTAGTTTCTTACATATGTAGTAATTCCACAGGATCACTTGTAGGGCCCAGACCTCCACAATGTGGTCTCTTTTGTGATTTGCAGAGAGCACGAATTCTGCTTCAATAATACGTTAGCTTGTTCATCAGAATTTTCAAGAAGCGTTTCCTAAAAATGAATAGGCAATTGTGTAGTTACATACCTTTTGAAGGGATGGAGAAGTCCAGTTTCAGACTAAGACAATGAACCAGTTAACAGCTGTGTAGCTCTGTGCTAGAATTACCTCTGCATCTGAGACAGTACTATCTGTAGGAGGGAAACAGTCACTATCAACCTAATTTTCTTTTGGAGTTAATAGGGAGAAGTTTCTGCCAATCCTTGCTCCTTCCAATTTTCATCTGCTGCAATGGAGAGAAAAAATGGCCACATTTGGTAGCAGTATCAAAGAGAATAAAAACTGCAGTTTGAATCATTTTACTGTAGTATTTTTATATACCTGTTTACATACAGACTTAGAGAATATGTCTTTACTATGTCAGTAGTAAGGGGTGGAGAAGAGGGTAGGGCAGAACTTCTAGCTCCTCATGCATCAGCTTTCTCTGTAGTAGTTAATGGTTGACTGTATGCTGGTGATATCTGAAGATTCCAGTGAAAATAACATGCATCTCACAAACCACTAGGGAATTCTTCTTACCTCTGAAATTCAGCCCTTTGCAGTTTGTGGAGGGACAAAAATCTATGCTTCTGCTGGCATAAAAATTGGGCTAGATTATTGCCAGTTTTTAATAAATACTGTCTTTTAAATGGTGTGTGAATTATAATGGCAAGAAAAATTTATAGGAAAGATATTGCAGTTAGAAGTGGAGGTATAAAATGCTGCCAAAAATCATTTGTTTATCCAGAAATATGTAAACTAAGCAGATGAGCTGCATGTCGGTCTTTAAAACATCCATCAAGAATACTGCTGACATACTAAATGTTTTTTATCAAAGATTTTATTTTCCTGAAATCAGTTTTTGAAACAGAAGTCCCATAAGACTGTGCTTGTCAGAATAAAAGTTGCTTTTGATGAAACATGCGGAATGAATAAATAAATAACATTACAGCTTACTGATTTTATGAAAGATCAGAGCTTGCACCATGGGTGCTGCTTTCTTTAATACAAGCTTTCCTTTTAAGTTTTAGCAATACCAGAAAGAAACCTGTAGGCCTTAAAAGAAATACTTAAGGGCCTACTAAGCAGTAGAAGTTGGTCCTTTTTACCGTGAAAGTTCTGTTATTGAGATGCCCTGCAGTAAGCTCCTTGGCAGATCTGTGATCCCTCTTCCCATGAGATTTTTTTCATATATATTGTGAATATTGAGCCCTACAAAGTTCTGCCTCTTGACTGTGATGTTCATTGGAACATAGAGTTAATTAATGATTTGGTACCAAGGAGTAAGCAAGGGTTACTCTAGCACAATGACTTGTGTGTTTCTGAAAACGTGGAAGCAAGAGCCTTTTCCTCTGTGGAACTGCTCTTTGTGCCAGTTCCCCTTCCTAAAGTTCTTGGGGAAACGGAGCAGAGACCACTTCAGAGCCTTGGCACACTGGAGTGTGCTGCTTGCCACAGGTGTTAGCTCTTTTGAACAGCTGATGTGGTCTTAATGGAGACTGTTCTCTCCACTGAGAGGTAATGAGTATAAAGTAACAAGAAAAAGAATAAAGGGGAGCTGATTAGGGAAGTGGTGAAAAGAAATAGTTTGCCCTTTCTCTGATCTAATGTAAGATTGAAAATTTTAAACACCTGGTTAGATTTAAAAGCATTTCTTTATATTATGGAAAAAAACAGATTTCAGATCAGTGGTCAACAAAATTTGTATCATAGCACTTCTACACCCTGGCTGTATTATATCCGAGTGTTTCACGTTACATAAGCGTGAAGCCTGCTGCCTAGTTCTGGTGTTCCACAGAATGCCAGAACGGTGTTAGAGCACCTCTGTGTGAGGTGGGAGGAACTGCATCCAGCTTTTTAAACACCGAAAGCTTTTGGGGGGAAGGAAGATCCTGTGGGTTTGCGGTACAGTGGATAGATGATCTTGTACACTTTAAAATGACAAATACCCACCAAGAAGACTTATGGCTGCTCATGTAAAATGCTTTCTTGAATGCTTAGGGTAATTCACGTAAACTTGCTTTTAAGAGAGCGGCTGAGCTATGTTGCTTTGAAACAGAACCTAAATACTTCTGGATGGTAAACGTGACTGTTGGCAATGCACCTGCCTGCACCATCTAATGCATTGTAGCATCAGGCTTTCATCATCAGTGTATTACTTACACATTTTTATGTATTCCCGTATTTTTAGTAATTTCTTTCATACTTTTCTACAGAATGGATCCTCTTTAACCAGTTTGCTAATATTTTAACTTTCAGGAGAAAAGTATGAGCTACATGCTGCAACTGACACTACTCCTAGTGTCGTCGTCCACGTATGTGAGAGTGACCAGGAAAATGATGTGGAAGAAGAAACAAAGAAACCCAAACCAAAAATTATTCAGACGAGGAGGCCAGATTATACTCCTACCCATTTAAGTTGAACTACTGTTGTTTTTCCAAGGGTTATAAGTAAACATATGCAAGGGAAACATTTACTGTGGAAATAGCAGGTCACAGGTCTGGTGGCAACAGCAGCAGTTATACTAGGAGAAATTCCAATATAAGTTTGCTCAGAAAAAATGTAGGAAGTTCCATCCTTATTTTTGATGCTGCAGGTTGATGGATGTCATGAGTGTATTCCCAGATCACTGGGAACAAAAGATAGGCAGAAGAAAACATTTTGAGACTTAACAGGACAAACTAGGTTTATTTTTTTGGGGGGTACTGTAGGCTGTTCCATTATAAAGCAACTGGGGGAAGCTTTCTTTGTTCTGACTCACATAAATCCTCAAACTAATAGGCTAGTCATTGTGTGGAATACATAGTGATAACAGAGGTGGTTTTAAAAGATTAAAGTATGAGAATTGTAAACCTTTTTCTTACAATAGATTTTGTGCATGTGGATTCTTGGTCTTCTGAAGTAACTTTGCATTATTTTCTATAGTTTCTCACATTTTCTGGAAATCCGGGAAATTGTTTAAAGTATTTATTATCTCAGCATCCCAGACTTACTACTAGATGTGTATATACATATATATTTATATTTGTTTTTATTGGCACTCATTTTCCAGCAGGCATACAATTTCTTCGGCACCTTATTTTGGTGCTATGTAACTTGTGCTTTTAAAATTTTAACCTTTTAAATGCCTATATAGGGTTTTATCTGGCAAAGTAATGGAAAAATGTGCAATAGGAAAGTTGTTTAAATAAGTTGATTTTAAATTATTTAAGTTTAACTAAGTTATATCGTCAATAACATTTGTTCAGTAGCTTTGACTTTCTCATTTGGAAAAAAGTACTCTTAAATGTATAAATAAAGCTAATGTTGCATATTCACAGCAATGTAATTTTTCAGTGAAAAAAATGGTAATGGAGAGACATGAACTCTACTCAGTATGTGAATCTGCATTGTTGGAGCAAAGGTTTAACAGTGATTGAAAAATTGCACAGAGTGTGTAGAACAGCGAAGAGAGATGGAGTGCCTTTTCCTCATTCATTCCTGATGTGAACTGTTCTACAAGCTGCACACTTGTATCTTTTTCTACTGGCTTTGTATGCTCATAAGTATAAACTTTCTCAGCTTTGCTTCCGAAATAAGCTGGTATTTAGAAATGCTTAACGCCAAGTAACGATACGTACTTAAGTAATGGGTGTATGTGGGAGAAGCTTTAGGGTGTTTTATATGTTAGTGTTTAAAGACAGTAGCTCATCACAGAAAAGTTTAGAGGAAGAAAGATGACAGAAGTGTATTTTATTACTTGTTTTTTAAAATGGAGATCCTCACTTTGAAATAGGTTTCAGTATTTTTTTTAAAAGATACTAACTGATATCTGTGGGAAGATTATCACTTACAGTTTTAGAAGTGGGATGTTTGAAGCTTCTCAATATGTTTTTAGAAATCAAAGCATGGTTCTCTGGTTTTCTTTTGCCACAGTTGGTCTGAGAATGAGTTTTGTAGCTGGAGTTCATATACAGAAATCCATTCTGTGCCATTTGAAGCAAACATTGACTTAAATGCCCAGGTTCACACGTTGTTTTTTAAATAAATGATAGATATATAGTAAAAAAAAAAAAAGTAAGATGTATAATGAAGCCATTCCAAGCTGTGGTGCAGTGTAAATGCGGTGTTATTGAAGGCCTGTCATTATACTAGGCAAAATAAAAATTGCTATCCTGTGACCACAGAGAGCAGGAATATATTGAACTTCAGTAATATTTGCAGTTATGGTCTTGTTCTGATTGATATACCCTGTAAACTGAAACAAACACTGGTACTTGGTGTCTGTCTTGAACCTAACTCAAGTGGCACTCTCTCCATCTTAACAGTGTTAAGGAGAGCTAATGCCATGTATAGCTGGAGCCCTGTTTTATTGACATGGGGGTGCATAAGGTTATTTTGTGTTACTTAGGTGTAATAATCAGCTGGATACATGTACTGCTTATTAACACACAAATAAGTAAAATGGAAAGAAACTTTGTAGATTTGCCACAACTGCCTTTAAGCCTTTCCAAGATTTTTTCCATGTTTCTCAAATTACTGCTGGACTTGGTGTTTAACTTCATTCAATTTAAAATTTGTTGGAATAATTCCTGTTCTGTCCTTTTTCCATCTTTTCATGATTACCAATCAAAGCATTAGTTTTGCATTAGAAACCCAGGCAGCTGCTGTTCTGTTTCCTAGCAATCCTAAGCAAGTAGTGCTGCCTTTCAGTTAAGAAGAACAGAATGTTAAATACTAATATGGTTTTCATCATTTTAGTACACTGATGTCTGCCTAATAAGGTGGGCACTAGAAACTGTGGAAGTCTTGGGATGGTTACAGTGTGTTTCCCCTTCTGATGGTAATTGGAAGCAAAGGTTGTGAGACAGTAACTTGCCCGAGTTCCTGGTTGTATATCCTGGCTTGTGCCACCTGCTGTTATCATTACTACAGTGTGCTGCTTGCTTTTTCTGTTGTTTTTTGTTTGGGGTTTGTTTTTTTTTTAATGTTTAAATGAATGCTTAGTTGGTATTTTATACAGTTGTATAGTATGGGGCATATTTAAATTAAAATATTTTGTTGTCTTCTTGTAAATGTCGTGGTATTTATGCATGCAACTAGTTGAAGATTTTGCGCCAAAATCTGAACTTTAAGCTTCCAAACACTTCTGATTTCAAAAAGGTAAGAATATTGTCCCAGGCCACATCCTTACCATCCAAATGATCTATTCAGAGAAAAGCTTTCCAGCCTTCTGCTTAAGAGACTTGCATGATCTCAATCAAAGTATGAGAATCTACTAATGAATAAAATACAGTCCAGAGTATTCCAGTTAAAAACAGATTTTTCTGTGCCTGAAGTTGACGTGCTTCCTAATAAAGGTATTAACATCTTCCTGTTCTGTAGTAATCCCTGTGCATTCATAATATCCTTACCAGTTTTCTTCTACAACATGAATAATTCTATTTTTAAAGCTCTTGGAATATGAAAATATATCAGCATTTAAATGGCTTTACCTTGTAACTCTAAATCTTTGTGTTGCAAAACATGTTACACAAAAATGCATTGAAGGTTTCACTCTCAATACGGATAGAAATCCTTTTACAGAAGAAAGGAGTTATTGATATTAATGCTCATCGTTCTTCTCTACTTATGACTGGGAAGTACTGATGTTTGTAAGGAATTGTTTTATACACAGAAGTGGTTTCAGATAGCAAAGTGCTGTTGCTTACCAATAGCAGGCCCATCCAGGGGAGTTCCTGTGTAGAGAACAGAAATAACTTGGTCCTTTCTAACAAAAGATAGAAGGTGAAATAGCAATTCCAGCTGAGCCATCCTGCTTTACATAGAAGACCTCATTTATTTTTCTTTTTGGAAGTATAGCTAATGTTTTATTATTTGCCCTCAGCATAAGGATAGCATGCACAATCTCCATAAATCTGTAAGTGATCGCTACCATTTGTCATTTTGCAAGACTTGTTGCCAGCTTAGTGATGCACATATTCCTATTGTTGGATTATGAATTTGTGCATGCATTACTACATTAAGGACCTTAGTAGTTACCAAGGTGAATTCAATAACATGTGAGACTAAAGTTTGTTTCTAATAAGGGTTTTTGTTTTTCAGAGCAGCAACAAGTGTAGTAACTTTGATATTTGAAATACTGGACAAGTGCGTTAGTTGTTCTTATGTAGTCCAGACTTGTCAAGGGTGGGGAAGGAATGAACTCCCCAGCAACTCTCTCTCACACCATTTTAACAGTTACAGCATGGATTTTGCCCTAGGCATGATCACCTGCCTAGTCAGGTTTTGCTATGTCACACTAGAAAGAATGTCTTGGGGAAGACAAGTTCTTTAACTTGAAATTGTGATTTGTATCTATAAAGCTTGCTTACTTGTTCTGGTATGTCCCAAACCCTCTCCTAGTTCCAAACACGCAAAATGATAGCAAGGAAGAGACCTTTACTCTAGGTATAGATACTAGGTCTTGGGCTCAGTTGTTGTGCTGCTTCTATCATCTTTGCTTTTATCCTGGCTTACCCAACACACTTCAGAAACATTTTGCAGAAAATTATACCTGCTTAATGCTTTTAATAATTCATATTTGGATGTCTGAAAAGAAGGAAACAAAACAACTAGTAATAACGAAGACAAGACATCCTCCAAGGTACTGTACATTGCAGTGAATAAAGCAAGACCACAAAGGTGACTCAGCTGATGAGTAGGTGACAGGGTGGACCTGGCAGGACTGGATTTATCTTCTCTGACAAAATTTCCATTGATGAAGTAGTGACTATCACACTTGAAACTTTTTGTCACTTACCTAGTCTGTATTTGTATATCGAAAATTATAGTATCTCTCATCTTGCCTTTTTTTGCCTTTTTTTTTTTTTTAGTAACTGGCAATTGTTTTTCACTGTGGTACACTGCATCTGAAGTATGAAGGAAATAAAATGATGGGAGTTTAAGTATGAAAGGTTGAACAGGTGGAGGAAGAGACAGAGGCTCCAAGTGACACTTTGTCACTTCTGGCAGGCATGTTGCCCATTCTGTTTCTGCCTCTCAAACACCAGCTCAGGAAGCTCCAGTTCTTCCTAATGTTGCTTCCTGCTCTCACGCCTGCCCTTCTTCCACTAGGTGTTGTTCCATATTTCCAAAAGACTGAGAGTCTCTGAGGTTTACAGGCATTTCCTAGGTCTTCTTTATGAAATCCCTTTTTCTCTTATCCAAGGATAGGCACAGCTCAGTGTCTGGGGCTTCAGAACTTTGCTACAGGCTTCACAAAGGTTTTGCAAAGATCTTGTATGCTGGTAATACAGCATGGGAGGAGCACTGATGGGAAACTTTTCAGTAGTTTTCAGTCTGGTGCTGCTTTTGCTGCTAGATTTGGAGTCTTGTCAGTAATTACTTTCATGTTTGGAGTGATTATTTATAGCTTGTGCTTTGTAGTCTCAGTCCTTTTCATAGAGTGTGAATTTGTTGGGGTAGGGTTTTGGGGGGTTTGTATCTTTGTCCGATCTTGAAATCTTTCTTCCACTTTATTTTTTTGTTTGTTTGGTTTTTTGTTCTTCTTCCTACATATTGGAGTTCATTGTGTACCATCTACCAAGCAGGTCCTTTATCTATCTGCTTAACATTTAGCTTTAGATGTGTGGACCTGCCTATGCTTTGAGTGTGTACATGTTTTCTTGCCATTGAAGTTGTGCCAGGAATTAATTTTGTTTGCAGTTTCATTACTACCACATCCCGCTTGAATGAAACCTCTAAGTGCAACTAAGAACTTTTCCTGTATTTACCTGATGCCCAAGGTGTCATGTCCTTTATTAATCCTAATGAAATTATACGTGATTTTCTGTTTGCTCTGTGTTGCATGTCTCCTACTGTCATTTATACATGCTTATCCTATATTTATTTTGCTGGTGCAGATTGTTGTACTGTGTTCCAGTGCTGTGCATCTGTAATTCTGGCCAAGCCATAATCAATTCCCTATCTCATAGGGTGTGTTGCGATACTGTCAGTACTTCTGTAGGCCTGGGAACAAGTCAGACTCATGCATGCGATGCTGGCTGCTAGCTACCACTGTCCAAATCACTGGAAATTTTGATGGTGTCTGTCCTATACTACCGCTTCCTGAGTCCAGTGAGGAGAAGCTTGTTCAAGGATAAACAAACATACAAAGAGCCCTAGAGTATTGGCAGGAGTTTGACTTGTATCTCTTTTTTTTAACGTGTATCACCTCTTAATTACTTTTCAACTTGTTATGCTAGCTAGTCAGGATAGACTCCTTATATCTCAGAGTACTTGTGTTTGATACTGAGGATTTCAGTGGGTAGCCAGTGTTTTGCTCACAACTCCATTGTTTCCAAATCCATTTTGTTCAGTTTCATATCTGGAGCCTTACTATTCGAGCTAAAGGTTTTACAAAATAGAGCTTACTGAGGTACTGCAGAAATCTGGAGGAAGAGGTAGAAAATATATCTGTCTTTGAGGCTCATTGTGCCACTGAGCATTATGTCTCTTGACTGTTTGAATATTTGGCGTTACTCTAATATCAAGCCGATAAAAGCGTTAAAGAGGAAAAGCCGAAGAGGTCATTTAAGTGTCATTCAGATAGACATTACCATTATTTGATTCAAATTTCCTTTGTGGGAATGTGTTGTGCTTTTTGGGGTGCCTAGGGACGCTGCTAGATTGAGGCATGTTCTGGAGCTCCCTTTCTTGCTCTCTGCCT